GTGCTACTAATGCAATCGCAACTAACCGGACGGACAACGTAGGACGCCTACTCCAACTTTGCGCTGACCATGGACTGTTCCTGTGAAGCACGAAATTCTCGCTCAAGAAAAGGCACCGCCTTACATAAAAACCGCCAACCTCTTCACAGCGCTGAACTCGAATCAACCGCATTTCCACGGATGAGCATCTACTGAAGACTACCACTCCTACTGGTCAACACCGTTGGACACGGACCTTGTTCTGCGACGAACGAGATTCTCCCTACGCCTAGTAAACAGCCGCAGGAAAGCCACCGTAAACGGATGCTCAATGGATGTCAGCAATGGTTGCAAATCGGTCTTCGAAGCGGAACTATCGCTTTTCAGCCCAACCATCAGCCGAAAGACTCAGCGGACAATGAACTGCAATCAAGGAAGCGATTCGAATGCCAATCGAAACAACGGCGGATTCTGGCGCTCGAAGAAAGGAAAAACGATATAGTTCCTCGACCACGGTTGCCCTGCTGAACACTCGCAGAGCTATTCCGTCTGATTCGGAATACGACAAAGTGCGCAAATCCAATAAAAATCAGCTCCTCAAGAGTTTGAGGAATGACCGCGGGAAGTGGTGGGTGAGATAAAGTAATGAGATGGAGTAGGGCACGGTCATAGGTAGTACTCGCAATCCTTTTCGTTTAGTTAGGACTACGGGCCCAAGGAAAGTAGGCCTCAGTGAAATAGTTAAGAGACCGGCGGCAAAACGATTCTTCAGTAGCGCCGTCCTGAACGTTGGGCAGAACATTTCAAGGCACAGTTTAGCTGGATTCCGTCCACACTAGACCTTCCGTATACCTGCTTCAGTTGTACAAATACTGCCAGTGGACATCAGTCCTCCATTTGAAATGGAGCTTACCCGGAAATAAAATCGTATAAGGCTTCCTGCCCGGTCGGGCTATCCCGATCGGTTTTTAAGGATGGAAGTTCAGCTTTGGTTTTGGAGTTAGCGAAACTCCTGGGCTCTGTGTAGGAGAGGAAACAGGTTTCAACGGACGGGTATGAAGCGGTGATCATACTTATTTACAAGGGAGGCGACAGGTCCTCTTGTGAAAACCACAGAGGAATTAGTTTAACCAACATCGTCTCTAAAGTTCTCGACGGTGTTGTACTCCATCGGTTGTCTGCTGCACGTGAACGGTGAACGCGTGAAAACCAGGCCAGTTTTGGACCTGGCCGAGGTTGTATAGAGGACATCTTCACTCATGGTCAAATTCTAGAACGCACACACTCCTTTTGTAGACCCACTATTTCTCTCTTCCTCAATCCGAACTCTGGCGCTGCCTCAATCCAAAGGATGTGCCCGAGAATTTAATTTCGGTCTTGCAATCTCTTTATCTTAATAGCCGAAACCGAGTCCTAGCACTTTTTCCCTTGGACGGTCAAACCAAGACCTGGCACTAGGGTATGAAAACCCTAACCAGGAGACTGGGTCACATAGGTCCCGTTCGGCTCCCGCGGTAGGGACTCCGGGCTCATTATAACCAGTGGTCAGAGACACAGTAATAAGGCTGAGTATTGCAAACAGTGGCACTCCTGCATCTACTCATTTTTATTGCAACCCCTGTCGTTATGAAAAATCTTCCTCTTGAATTTGCTCTCAGCATTCCAATCCCCATTATGCTCTTTCATCCAAATGGGCGACCAAAAGATAAGAACCAAAACCGAGGCACGAAATGGCTTGGTTAATGGTTGAAGAAACTGAAACGTCCTAACATGTCTTTTAATCATTGGCTTTCTGTTGAGCGGTCGCCTTACCTTTAACGACACTATTTTTTGTTTTTATTTCTATTGAAGTTACCGCTTTCTTCCTACTCTTCGTATGTCCCGTACACAAACCTCTAGTCACCCATTTCAAGTGGCTATCCTCAGGTGTAGCTTTTCTAACTTTCAGTCATCTTTTTTCCGGTCTTCCCTCCCAGATACATTATCCGTATCTGTAACGCAGAATCACCGAGCTGCTTCCAGCCTGAGTGTTCCGCTTAAAATCCCATTTCCTTTGATTATGGCCTTTACCCCTTTGGTTTGTGCTCTCTTCTTTGCAATAAATAAATTATGGTAGATTACACAGACTGAGGAGCTTTTCTTTGGGCATCCCAGCCATTACCTTTGACTTAAGGCTGATCCACAAGTCAGTGGGGCGCAGATCCAACGCAGAGACCTAAACTAAGTACCGTAGCGTTCGTGACTGAACTTCCACAGAACAGTGATGCGAGGCCTTTCGGTTTTATGAGTTTTCGTGGCTTATGCGTCCGAGGTTCGGAGTTTCCTCTTATCTTCATGCACCCGATGATGCAGGAGAAGCGTGAGTGATACTGTGCCCCCTTCGCTGATCTTAACTTGATTGCTTCGCTTGAGTGGTCAACAGTTGTCCATCGAAGCACGATCCTCTCTTCTCGCAGTGAGGAGAAAGATCGGGTACTCCACTGTTCCATCCATCAGCGTTTTTACCAATAAACTGCTCTTTATGTTCAGTTGCTGTGGTAATACACATCAATCTTCTATTGCTGTTTCTATCTGAAAAGATCGTCACTTTTAAGATCCTTATGTTATCTGACTACTCTTTCCGCATTTTCAGGTAATGACTGATCGTGACTTTTCATCAGTAGATTACGAAGAAGGTGAGGTGGATGATAATAGCGAATCTGACGCCGAGGAACCACCTCTGGATTTAAATAACGACAAGCGACGGTACGGAATTTCGAAAATCCTACTTAATGGTTATAGATCGGACACACGGAGACACCCGCGGCATGAAAAGCACCATGTAAAACATAAGCATGAGAAAAAGCCTCAAGTTAAAACTCGACACAAATCTCTTATGTTGTCGAAAACCAATGTACACGAGGGTCGCGAAGAGAGCACACTGAAGGATTCCTCCAGATCACGTCACTTTTCAAGAAGACCTTCGTTAAAAGATCATGTTTCCGATGATGAGGTGGATTTCCACATTTCTGAACGAGAAAAACTGGTACATTTTTGTTGCGCTCGTCATATTTTCTGTTAGACAAAACGTCATAATTTGGAAGATCGACGGAAAAGGAAAAGGCGGCGATTAGACAAACCTCCTTCTCGAACTCCACAAATCCAGTGTCGTTATTTTATGGAAGGCAGATGCCATAAAGTCAGTAATTTTCATGAAAACACTGATACGCTTCAATTTAGGGTGATAGTTGTCCCTACGCGCATGATTTCATCCCTCCCAAAAAACAAGAACTTTGTAAATTTTACGCAGTTGGTGTGTGCTCTAAAGGATCTTCCTGTCTGTATTTACATGAGGAATTCCCCTGTAAATTTTTTCATCTTTCCGAAAAGTGCATTCACGGTGATTCTTGCAAATTCTCACACTTACCCCTTACCCCGGCTTCTAAAGCCTTGTTGGACCGGGTTGCGCCACCGAAGGTATGTTTTTTCCTACGACTTGTTCATTCTTATTGTTTAGGACACTGGTCTACCGGAAAATAGTCGTGGTCCTGGGTATGCCGCTTACGGTGAGCATGGTGATGTTGATTACCGATTCGGATCAAGGTTAGTGTATACTTTCCATTTTTTTCTCGTCTGGCTCTGTTTAAGTTCGAGTGTTTTACCTTCATATGAAACTTCAGCTTATCAACAATGCATTTACACTCAAAATTTCCCCGATCCCAAACCGTCATTTCTGTTAACCTTTTTGTTGCATAATCAGTGGTTTTTTTTTGATCAGCCTTTTGTCTTAGACTTCATTGCTCTGATTTTGGTGTGCAGCTTTACACGTTTGTGTGGGAGATAAATCAGATGCATGGGGAATTCGTTCACACGGGCGAGCCTCACCATTGTCCAGACCATGTTGTAACTCCAGTCATAAATTTGAGCGGAACCATGGATTCCATTGACTTACTTTGTGCGACTAGCTCTTGCATGCAGATGACTCAGCTTCTTGGATGCCTAGGATGGTTGCTGTCCGCACTCCCCAATTTACGATAGGGTCCATACAAGTTGATGTCCAATTCTTGTTGCATTCCCGTAAGCCATAGATGTATGGGAAGCCAATTTTCTCTACTTTCTTGACAGTGTTAGCCCAAGTCTTGAGCTGACCATCGAATCGACAGCACGAACCTGGAAGTGGTGTTGGTAGGATTCGTTTTTCGAACTGTTTGCAGGTCGTCTGAGAACATGATTAAGCCATTGGAAGGGCGCTACTACAGAAGAGAAGACTATTTCTCAGTGTTATTTAACCGTCTTTTTCTGCCTTCTGTATCCATTTTCGCCCGGGCAACTTCTCGTTTCCGCATAACGGGCAGGTTTTAGCTGCACGTAAAAATAGAACCAACGGTGACTCCATGATATCTCAAGCATTTGCTGAAGGGTTCCACCTGCTTCATACACTCGAAATGTTCTATTCTTTAGTCTAACCGATGGGTGGTATCACAACCAAAATATTTAATCAAATAGTTGTTTGGCAGATGGTTCAGTTCAGTCTTTAGAACCATTAACCATGTACTTTCGTGCACCGGTTTTGGTTGTCTTTGGGCGCTCATTTGGATAGAAGAACAGTGTGGAGATTTGAATGTTGAAAGCAAATTCAAGCGGAAGATGGAGAATTACTATGGACTGGCGCATGAGCGCCACTATTGGCGATACTCAGTCATATCAGTCAGTGTCTCTAACCATCGGTGAGTGTCATCTCGAGGTCTCCAGCCAGGGAACCTAACGGTACCTGTGTGAGCCAGTCTCCTGGTCAGGGTGTTTAGACTCTCACACCAGGTCTTAGTTTGACTGCCCTTGATTTTTTCCAACCGCTACCTGCCTCAACAAACATCGCTCACCGTGGCCACCCATCTGTCGACATGCGTATTACATGTCCCAACCAGCGTAATCTATGGAGGTCGACTACCTGCTCCAATGAACGACCGCGATTACCTAAAACTCTACGCCTAACCTCAGCATTCCTCGTCCGATTTCCCCACCAAACTCGTGCAATCCGCCGTTGATAGCGGTGTTCGAACACCGACAATCTATTTTTATCCTGTTCCCGTAGTGGCCGTAGGGCAGGACTGACCGAACTGCTGCAGCATATACTTGACCCTTCACAGACAGCCGGATGTCGCGACGGCTCCACAAATATCTCAAGTTGGCAAATACCAACCGAGCCTCTTGAATGCGCGCCGAGACTTCATCTGTGATGCGTCCACCAGGTGAGATATAGTTGCCCAGATAGCAAAACTTGTCCACTTTCTCTAATACTTCTCCAGTCAGGGTGAGACTGGGTGATGGACCAACCCAATCTTGGAGCAACATTTTACACTTTGAAGGTGCAAAACGCGTACCGAACATAGCTGCACTAGCACTCAAACTACCCAGAAAAGCTTGCAACTTACCTGGATCTTCACTTAGTAGCACAATGTCTTCTGTATACTCTAGGTCAGACAGTCTACCACCTGGGAGTAAATCGATACCGCTTTCCTCGCACGAGGATAGGGCTGTTTTAAGAATTGAATCTATCACGAAGTTAGATAGAAACGGAAAGGGAGAGAGCAACCCTGTTGCACACCACTTTCGGTAGCGAACTCGAGTGAAAAAGTGCCGTAAGCTCGGAGTCGGCTTCGGCTATTATCGTAAAGGGATTGTAAGATAGAAATAAACACCCTTTAGGGCGAGGCAGCGCCAGAGTTTGAGCGATCGACTGAGTCGAAAGCTGTTTTTAGATTAGGTTGTGGAAAGCTCAGTGGCACCGGTGGGATTCGATTTCACACATGGACGCTGCCTACGTTTTTGTTCAGCGCATGCTCTACCGGATGAGCTGAGGCCACACCGATATTACTGCTCTTTTCACATTCAAATCACTCAAACAACTTATAGAGACATGTGGAATCCACGACAGGTTTTCTTTAGAATCTACCGGAGTTCACAGAATGAACTTCTAAGGTTAGGTAAATTGTTCAAATTGTTGTTTGCAGATGGAAGTCTTACGTTGATGTTGAATGGGTGATTTGAATGTGAGAAAATCATTGTTATTAGTGTAACCTCGTAACTCAGCTGGTAGGGCGGTGCTGTACAAAAGCTTAGGCGGCGTCCATGCGTGGGTTCGAATCCCACGGAGGCTACTGAACTCTTCACAATTTCATTAAATTGAGTTTTCTGCCCCTGTGGGTTCATGATTAATTTGGACGAGATACGCCAAGAGGTTGAAACATTCGCTTTAGACTAACTCGATGAGTTGGCAAGGTCACCGATGGAATCGACATATCAGCGATCCCCCTATTGGATCTCCCACTTCTCTGTTCAAACATACAGACAGTTTCGTTTCGCGTGAGACAGTTTCAATACAGTCCGATCGTGTGAATCCTTGTCTTTTCCGGCCTTCCTTGAACCCATATTCTACATCTTAACCCTTCGTAATCTTCTGCATGCCTTCCCAACCTAATCCATCACGTTTCATGGTACCACCCTTACAAGACCAATTTCAATCAATTTTCTCAGCATCACAGATATTTTCCTTACTAAACTGAGCCGTCTGTCCTTTCAGATTCAAAACCCATACTTTTTCGTGTTCGACATTCCGTCATTTTCACTTTTGTCTGACCGGGTGTTATTCACTTAATTCTATGATTCTCCGATGCTATTTGTCTTGGTCTACGCCCATACGCCTTGATAGTTTCGATATTAAGTCGCATCTTAAACATACTCTTCAATGTACTACTTCAAATTTTAGTCATATGACTCACTCGTGGATTGTTCGAGAGGTTTGCTTTAGGAATCCCTCTCTTCCACTGTCTGTTGTTAGCGCACTGTTAGTTGTTCAAAATTCCGATTAATTTCCTCAGGTGTTCGACTTCTCCGGTTCCTTATCTCGCGTGCAACCGTTGGTTTACTTGTTAGTTGCAGACTGAACCGGTGTTACTCGTTACCTTAGCTGCTTAAGTGTTTCCCTCTTCTGTTGACCAGTGAAAACTTGTTTGAGTGGAAAGGAAGTTCTGTGAATACTAAGAGAAGGGTTTTTAAAAGTAAAACAAACGAAAAATATTAGAAGTCGCAATCAGATCCATTTAAATTTATCCGATAGTAATAGACTTTGACAGCTTTCCGGCAAGTTCTTACTACCACTAAGCGATGATGGAAACAAATATTGATATGAATATGTTCGACGAAGGCACAGTTTCTGTGCTCGATGATGCAGGAGCGTTTCTGCAAGGTTTTATCCCCATTGTTCGCTGAAATTAGATGGTACATACATAGCCAACTATATTTTACCCCATGTATTTACCTGTCTGTTCTATCTTTCGCTGTCACCGGCGTGCTTGGGACCCTATAGTCCGAAGCTCGAGCCCCGCCACCGCCACCAGACTTTGGTGGTAGGCAGCTCTGCTGTCGTCCGGTTCAATACCACGCCTAACCTATCGGGGCCTTATGCGGTTCGCCACTCCAAGTTCCGGGGCTTAGGTTGCCGATTTCAACCACCAAACAGCAGGTCCTTGTGACTATGGGGTTTACCCCGTCTGCTGTTCATCACACCTGGGTGTGTAGTATATATATATATATATATATATATATATATATATATATATATATATATATACCATTGAATATGCATGTGTGCGGGTTTTGGTTGCTGTCTGTTGGCTGCGCATTTGGATGAGGATGAACGACGAAGATCGGAAAGTTGAAAGTAGAATCGAACAGAAAGTGGAGGAATACAGTGTAGCAACGTTGTAAGGATGTTTAGTAGATACTATCTTTACGGAAGGTGAAACAAGTGTGCTAACTACGTCCATATGCTCTCACTATGTTTACCTACAGATTCCTGTCATTTTCTATCGGATCAAGCTTTTGACATAGTTTCTTAGTTAATTCGACCAGGTACACTTTGCCAATCATGATAGTTCGGTTTCGATTGGTTTGTCGTCCTATCCATCTTATTAATGTGCTTTTGTGAACTTTACGTCCACTGGTAAGGTTAATTGTAATATGTTTGCATATGTTATTAGTTTCCAGGGTTTATAATCGGAACTTTCGCATTCCACCCATGTTATTCTGTTGCACAAGCCTATTGAATGGCACAGTCTGGTTTATATAT